GTAAAAACCTGTGTGGGTAATGGGTCATGCTCTGCCTGCAGGCTGGTATCAAGAAGAGAACTGCAGGGGTCTGTACTGGGACGTGTCCTGTTTAACATCTTCACCTGCCATCTGGAGGAGGTGACACTGAGCTGTCATCGAGGTCATTGGTGGCACCAAAGTGTGAGGCATGTGGCAGCAATGCTGGAGCAAAGAGAAGCCATTCCAAGTGACTTTAACAGGCTGGGGGAATGGGCTGGTGGGAATCTCATGAAACACAAAAAGGACAAGTACAAAGCTCTGTCCCTGGGAAGACAGAGAAGTGACCTCATTGCTTTCTGTAGATTCCAGAGGAGATAGAGCGATAGGGGATGTGCTGATCCTGATCCCTATCACTGGGATCCAGTGATAGGATATGTGGGAATAGCTCAAAGCTGCAACATGGAAGGCCGAGACAATATAAGGTAACATTTCTTTATTGAAACAATAGTCAAACACTGGAACATGCTTCCTATAAGAGGTGGTTGATGTTCCATGCCTAATTGTGTTTAAGAAGCATTTGGATAATGCCCTTAATAATACAGTTTAACTCTTGGTCATCCCTGTAGTGGTCAGTTGGAATAGATCAGTGGGTAATTTACAACTGGAACCATTCTGCTCTAATGAAGGCTAAGGACAGAAAGGTTGGGAATAGCATCAAGGCCCAGAAAGGCTCTGAAGGAGCAAGCTGGATGTGAGCCAGTTGCAGAGATGACTGACTGTATCTGGGGCTGCATGATGAGAAGTACAAGCAGTAAATCCTGGCAAGAGATTATGCCTCTTATTTTCACTTGAAACTTCATGAGCCTTGCATGGGTCCATTTCTCAAGTGTGTCCCAAAGTCCCTTGAGGTGGCATCCCTTTTCTCAAGGACATAAAGTGCACCACTCAGCTTGGTGAAATCTACACTTTCAGTTCCTCTGTAACTGAAGTTTTGGTATCAGGCTCTGTGCTATTCATGTAGTGTCATTGTATTTCCTGAGTTTTGTGAAGTTATCTTTAGATTTAAATAACACAAATTGCTTATATTGATTCAAGTTTCACAGAACCACAGACTTTTCACAGATTCTGAGATTCTGCTAAAAATTTCAGAATTATTATTCTTCTTCTGAATCAATAATACATTTCATAAATAATAACAGCCAGTCTACAGAATGCCATATGCATGATTGCTGCATTTTTGCCATCCTGCTTGGTGCTCCTTGTTTTTTCTCTTATTTTGCAATCAGTGTCAGTACTTCCACATCTTTCTACATAGTTTCCTTGTTTCTCAAAAACAAAAACAAAAAAAAAAAAAAAACCACCCAAAACCCAACACAACCTTACAAGGACCAGTTAAATGATTTTTAAATAGTTGGATGCATTTTTTCATCTGTTTGTTCTCCATCCAAAATACTTATCATACATACAAATAACTTTAGAGATTGAAAAGAAATATATGTCACTTTTGGGTAGTTGTACTCATTTATTTAATTCCATTTCAATTACTTCTCTAACTCCTGAAGGTAAGATTAAGATCGTCTGTATTAAAAGCATAGAGACTTGTCACTCACTGCGATGGGGACAGATAGGTTCTTTTGGGCATCCCTGGCAGAATAATGACAACACTAAGCTGCAGTTACAGGTGTTTTTTTTGGTTTTTTTTAACAGATTTTTCTGATTAGCATAGGATGGAATCTTATGATCACAATAGAACAGATTTTTATAAAGAGAATCAGTGTAGTATAATTTTGTAAGTAGTGAGCAGAGAACTTTACAGCACAGTTTAGCTTACAGTTCCTAATCTAATCACCTGCACCCTCCACAGCGCAGGTCAAATCTTAATATCTGGCCTGCTGTGTCAGTATAACTATCTTTTAAGGAAGACTTCAACCACAAAATAGAACATGAGTCACTCAATCTTCACAAGAAGCAAACAATGGCTGAGGGGTCCTTGACCACTGGTGGATCTGTGTGTTTTGCCATCCAGCAGCAGTTCTGGTCCAGCTCCCATTAGAACGTGTAACTGTTTGATTTTGTGGATCATGGTCTGTATGCCATTACATTTCCCTCTCCTGTGATGGGATCCTCACCCCCTGATTGGGCAGGTGCCGGGGACCTTCAAGGTTGGTTGGAAGAGAAATGGCAGTTCAATTAGCCCAGTAATTTATCTACAGGAATAGCAATGGGACAGGCCATGAAAAGAAGGCAGAAGAGCTTGGGTGTTTCTTTCAGACACTTACCATCTCCCCAAATCTACTTTAGTTTTACTAGGATTCTAAGATGATGCATTCCTTGCTGTTCTCTTTGTTATTTGCTGATATCCTGTTAATTAATCTATTTAATACCATTTCAAACCTACTGGTATTGTCTACTAAGACTGCAGTGTCTCAGAAATTCATTGCCTGCTTTGCAAAGAGGTATTTTCTTTTAAATCTTTAAAATTAGGTGTTAATTTATTTGCCACATTCATGAATTTTTAAAGCTTAAATAGCTTCCTTGTCTGTCTCTTCTCTGAAGCGTATCCTAATTGTTTTCATATTTCATTCTCAAAGCCAATGCTCCACCTCCTACATCATGCTGGGTTTTATTCTGTGCACCTTTTCTTACTCTACTGTATCTTCCCTCAGGCTCAACGTGCAGAACTGTGCAATTTTTAAGATGTCAACACAACAAGTTTTTATACAGCAGCAAGAAGATGACCTTTATTGTATTCACATTGCCTTTCCTGATGATCGAAAACATTTTGTCAGTTTCTTTTACGGCAGATGTTTCACATTGAGCCAATGATTTTAGGGGGCTGACAATGACTCTAAGCTCCTACTTATAGGTGCTAGCATTTTTACCACTTCTGTGCAGGTATATATACATATATATAAATATTTATTTTGTAAAACATTTATCTTGAGGTCTTTTATAACTTCCTAGTCATAGTCAGTTGTGCTTATCTGAAAAAGCTTTTGAGTGGAAAACAAAACACAAAGCAAGTTTTTATCTCTTTTTTTAACTAAGAATTTTAAAAGTACACTTTTGAAGAGTTCCTCCACAACCAATTTAAAGCGTTAAGGGAAGGAATACTTTCAGAAGTTTTGATTTTGTTTTTTTTTGTGGTGATAAAGAGAATTATCCACTTTTGTTAAACCATTCCACAGTTAGTATCCAGCAAATGGTTGCTCCAAAAGTAAGATTTTTCCTAGGACCAATACTGAACCAGTCACTTTGCCTTTACTTCTATATGCCTAAGAAACCTGTGGTGTGTGGTTATTTAGTATCTTTTTGTACTTCATGGCTCATGTCCTGGAAAATAATTCTCAGTTATGAAATCTGAGTTTGAGTTCAAGCAGTTGCTATGCAAGAGATACTGCTGAGAAAGAATATTGAATCTTGCTACCTCTGTAAATTGTAATTTAACCTGGAACCCTGCCAAGATAAAAGGAAAAAAAAATCAAAAGTTACTCACTTAAATCTAATGAGACTGCTAGCCTTACTTGTCTTTACAATTATTTTTTCCTTTTCTATCCGATAAACAGGTTATGTAGTGCAGCATCATTTTATGCCTTTTGTTCTATCACTAATGTCTCAAATATCTTTTCATCCTTCCTCATTTCTGTATATACCTATGTAAACACTTCTATTTCTATTTCTTGACTTTTAAAATGTGAACATGGTTTTTACAGAACATTTTCTATGCATTGTCTTTGCTTATTAGTTCATCTTTTGTGATTTTTTTTCTTTTCAGATTTAAATTTGCAGTATTGCTAAACTTTATATATATATATTATATAACTATTATATATATATATATATATTATAAACTGCATATAAATATGCAGTACTGCTAAACTCATATACGTATTACTGTATCCTCAAATTGCAAGAAAAATTGTTAACTAGCAATTTTGGTAGTATGCACTATAGAAGTTTATATACTGTGTTTCTCTGCAAAGTTATCATGCCTATGCAGTTTTTGTAGCCTTCTACCAGACTAACTTCAGGAAATCTTGGGATAGTAAGAGTATTCTTCACCCTGCAATTGAATCAAGAAGGTGCTGCCCAGGGCACCTAAGTACAATAAATAGAAGTAGCCTGGGTGAAACCAGCAACCACTTCTGTAGGTGGCTGTGTATTTCAGCAGATAAGATGAGCAATGAAAGACTTGGTGCCCCTGATACCAAATGGCAACAATTTCCTCTCGTTTGTATTGTTAACACTCAGCTCCCTCTGCAGACAGATTTTGAAAGGAGGCAGCTGAAGCAGCCCAAAAGAGAAATGGGGGAAGAGATAAACATCAAGCCTGTCCAAGACTAACTCATGGGACAGTCTTGTTTATGCTGGCATTTTTCAAGTTTATGTACGAGCATATTCCTGGGTATAGGCATTCTCTGAGGCAGCTCTCACACTGGTGCTAGCAAAGGCTCAGGACTGTTCCAGAAGGCAGCATGAAGGTAACCCTGGAGAAGGAAGGAAAAGGAGTGTGTCCATGTGGGTGGGAGCTGTACTGTGCTGCCTCTTCTCTGGGCTAAAGATTAGATCTTGAAATATTTTATTTAATGGTGCCCATATGAAGGCCATTATCACCTACATTTGTGACAGAAAAAATCAACATATCATACAAAATCCTCTGAAATCTAATATGAATAAGAAAAATCAAGGAACCACATACAGCTACTTTCCCTAGTTTGGCTCTCTTCGAGTAACGAGTTCAGGAGAATAAAACTAATAATTTAGGAAAAATACTTCATTTATATCAGAGAATCTTTGCCTACTTTTGCTAATTACCTGTCAGTAGAATAAGGAATATTTTTTCTTCACCTTTGATTTGTTATATGTCAACACATTCTTAATCTCATTATATATTGAGGTAAACTTAAACTTAAACCACCTATGTTCATGTCTTTAACTAATTGAAATTGAAGTAATTTCTTGAGGACTTGAAAATCTTTTGTAAGAGAAAAAAAAAGATTATATGATACAATTTTGTTTAATATTTATACAGGTATTTTATTAGAAGTAGCTCTGATATTGGAAGTTCCAATTTATATTGCCAGCAGCAGAGACCATTGTCTGCAAAACACGCTGTAAGTAATTTTAATTCATTTTATTCTTGCTGGTCTCTAAAACTGAAAGTTTGTTTCTGTCTTTTGATATGATATTGATACTGAAGTGCTTACCATGTTTGGTTTTATTGTTGAGTTGACATATGTAAAATCACATTGGAACTTTTCCATCTTATTTACTATTTTTAAATCTTTGCATGTGAAAGATAGAATGAAAGGAAAAAAAGTTGATTAAACTTCTGTTTTAAGAACACTGTTCCTTATAGTATCCCATATTCTACAGTCAAATTTGAACATTTGTTTTTATAACACATTTTTCAAGTTCCAGTATAAGGCATAATTTTTCTAATAATGTAGAAGATTCTTCTTGGCAGAAGAAAGAACATATGAATTCCAACTTCAATTTTAGTATGACCTAACTTTTCTTTTTTTACATTAATTTGTTCTAATATTCTCTGTGTTAGTATTTTGGTCATCAGTGTCATTTCTCTTCTGTCTTAGAATTTAGACAGATTTTAATTTATTGCTTTACTTCTTTAGCCTTAATTTAAGCTCGTCTTCTTTTGAAAGCTATTTGAACTTGTGGACACCTCTTCCCCTGCCTTTCTTATACCTTAATGGAAAGTTTACTTTATCTCTTTTTCATCCTTTATCCTTTTGCTATGTAAGGAGAGATTGCTTGTGTTTTTCTTTCCTTCTCCTATCTGCTAAAAGTGTCAGTTAATGTATCCTCTGTTGAATCTTTTGCCTGATCAAAGGCTTCAGAAATAATAATGCTAGTCAGCTCCTCAAGTAATTTCTTCCTTAGCAAAAGAGGGGTTACACTTGTAGAATTAACTGCTGGATAAATGAACTTTTGGAGCACTTACTCTTGTTTAAGAGTTTTCTTTCAGCCTCAGAGACATTAGAAAATTCTTTGGTGGTTTTTATTTTCCTAGATATTGCAATTGGAGCATCTTTTTCATATGTATCCAATTAGTAAGTTCTGTTGATGACATGAAATTCTTGACAAATTTTTATGCCTATTATTACTGGGGTTTTTGCTTTATTCTTGTGGTATTTTTGTAAACTCTATGCTTTTCAATTTCTCATTTCACTATGAAATTTTTTCACAAACCCCCTGAATTTTTCATTATTTTTAGCCACAAGTTTCATCTGTTTTGCCTCGATTGTCTATGAAGAATTGCATCTAGTCTTTGCATATGCACTTCTTCTATCCCAGTGTCTCACTTATCTATGTCCAGCTTTAAAAGGGGGTATATGCCCTTTTTGTTTTTACACCTATTGCTGCCTTTTATAGTGATATTTATCTTCTAAGGTTTAAGTATATAGTTTTACTCCTATTTTTTTCACAATAAATAGATGTCTAAAAATAAATTAAACACCTAACTTGATGAATGACACAGAACAGCCCAAAGCTGTAGGAATACAAACACGTTTACTCTAAATCAGGTGGGCAAATTTAAACTATCTGCTGGAAATGATGCCTGGCTATGATCATAATTCATGGACTGTACCTAGGAATTTTTAGAGAGACTGATTGTAATCAAAGGCCAAAAGCTTACTTGGAGCCATTTTAACAACTAACAGTGGAACTGATTGTTTTCCAGTGTCTGGGAACATTTTTTATGGTGTGGGTTTTTGGCATTTTGCAGTTGTGGGTTGGTTGGGGTTCTTTGTTTCATTTTGCTTTGAGCTGTGGGTTTATTGTGGATTTAGTGGGGTTTTAAAAATTATTATTAAGATAGGTAACGAAATATCTGCTTTCTTGGTAGCCCCAGTAAATGTAGCTCCACCATTTGATTGATTGACTAGTCTGTGAAGTGTCAATTTTAGTTGTGCACTGTCTGTTTAACCTGCACACTTTTTGACCTAAATATTACTAACTTTAGTTCTCTATTATGTCCAGAACTTCAATATGTTGTTCATCTTTCATCAGGTGAATGAGTTAGAGCAGTTTCCTTCCATATGCTTTCCAAGTTCTGCTATCATCTTCCTTAGCTATAGGTGGCTAAATGAAATCTAATCTTAATTAAAAGCCCAAAATCCTATATTATCCTATTGACATTAAACTCTGGAGGATGATAATGTAGCAGTGGTTAAGGCTAAGAAATTGAGAGGATTATAGATAAAATTAATATCATGCAAAATAGAAACTTGAATTTTAAGTAAATGTTAGGAATAAAATTGTCTTTGAGATTTGACTTGTAAATCTATTGAATCTCCTGTACAGATCCATACACAATGAGGGGGGAAAAGAAGCTGATGTGTTCAAAGTGTAGGCTCTATAACAGGCCTGTGACATGAGATTTTTTTCTTCAAGGGTTGCTCCCTTGAAGATGAAAAAGGATGTTGTAAAACATCCCTTGATGTTTTACAACATCACTTATTCTGCTTTAAGCCAAACTTTGTGGGGTACATTGCTATCAAAACAAAAAATTAGATCCATGACTATCATCAATCCATTAGATTGCTCTCATTGATATCAATTGTCTCACATGTTTAAGAAATTATGTAAATTGTTGTCTTTATCTTGAAAAATAGCAAATCTGACGTCTCTACATGGCTCTGCCTGGAAAAAGGAATGACCCATTTCCTAACATCTGCTCATGTACTGTAAAATTTAAAAAGAATAAGACAGTCCAAACAGGACAGGGGCCAGTGCAGGAGCTTCATGGTGATGTTTGGCAAACTCCTCTGTTCAGTGTTTTTCTGGATTCTATACTAAACACTTGGTTTTCTTAGGAGAACAGAAAAAAAACATATGACTAGGAAGTCGGGTTGTTTTCATGTGCTTGATATTCACATAATTTAAAAGAAGCAAGGTGCAACTAATCAAATCAAATCATCTGTTACAGATAATATCCTTGGGAATTCATCAATCAAGACCACTTTTAAATTACTGCTGGAATTATCAGTGCTAGTAATTTCATTATACATACGTAATCAATGCTTCATAAAAAGTGTATAAGAATGCTAAGAGAGTTCTTAGGTGCATAAGTTAATATCTTGCTGGTAGGAGCATATGCTATGAAAAACAGTATTTGTTTAACATTTCAGTATTTCTATATAGTCTACTGAAACACAAGACACAGAAAAGAAGAAACTGGAAGATACAGAAGAACTTAAGGTTTCTGTGAAGTTAAATAAGTTTTGCTTCTGTTACATATATATATGTGCATATACATAGTTTGTACCACATAAATATTCATATGACTTATTTGATGAGTAGAAAAGACTGCCAACTGTATTCCAGCCACACTACCTTCTGGCCAACTGCTTCAAGTAATAACTTAACAGACCATCTGTAGAGTGAGTGTACCATGTCCATCGTTTATGCTTAGAAAATGTTAGCTAAAAAAAAAATTAACTGAAACTCAGTTTGCATCCCTGAAAGGGATATCTTCATCTCCTTGTTATGTGTCATATTTTTGGATACACCAAAAAATAGCAGAGAACAAACCAAAATTAAATGGAAAAAAAAATAGGAATTACTATTGCATTTCTTTTTGCTTAAAAATATCATAGCAGCAGTTGATTAAATGTAGCTCAAAGAAAAAAATATTCTGCAATCCTTTCTCTGCTAGACATGAAGCTTCGTAACTGCACTTGCTATAACAAAGGATTACAACAAATAACAATAGCTTTGCTGTGTTGTTCTTCTGTGAGTACAGAAGTGACAGAAAGCTTGAAAGAGCAAAAAGCTTGAAAGTCTTGACATTTTAGTAATTTAAAAAAAAATCTGGCAGCAACAAGTAAATCTTTGTGTTATGGTTGGTTTGTGCTTGCTGTTAAACGCGGCATATCAAGGGGTTCAAGGGCACTGTAAATAACATGAAGGAGAGCACAAGCTCTCAATCACAGCATCCAGCTACATTCTAAGTATTGTAACTGGCTCTGAAAGACAGAAGTGTGACATCTTAAGGTGATGGTACTCTTCCAAGTGTTATGAAAGTGGAATAAAAAAGAAGAAACAACATAAAAAGAAGTGCTTCCTACCTACTGCCTTATTGCTGTTGACAGACTTTTTACACAGAGCTTTGGAAATCAAACGAGAATGAGTTTGAAAATGAAAGAAGTTGAGTTTTAATACTATGGACAATTAAATTTTGACAAAAAAAGGAAGGAAACTATTTTCATGCATTTATACACATCTAAATGTGTATGTGAATATTTGCAAACTTATTATGAATATATACTATATATTAAATGTATTTTTTGTAGCTATTACCCTTTAGGCCTCTTGTAGTAGCTGCAATAGTGGTATATCCTGTGGAACAATGATTTTAAGTAATCTTAAATAATACCATTATATCAAATATACTTTAAGAAGTAAATTATGTATAACTGACTTGTCAGATTTGAGTTAAATGTCACCAGTGTAAGTAAGAATCAGGAATAACAGCACCCAAAGTTTCCACAGAAATTCATAGAGAAGATCAATCTAGATTATTAATAGGGAAGAAACTACACAATAAAAATGCTGTCTTGAAAATGGACCTATTGTCTGATTACTCTCAACTAACCACTTGAAGTTTTAATGCTGGTTAGGAGAGCAAGAGCAGTTGTTCAAATTCTTTCCTCAATACCTTTAGATGGGGAAGGATTTTGCTTAGAAATCCCTTCGAAATCTTTCAGCAGACCCCAAAATAATTTGATATATGGAGCTGGAAAAAAATCTTTATTAGGAATAGATACTAAATACTGACAATATTATCCCTCATTTACACACCCTTGTAAGCTATTAAATTTGCTGCCAAATCACCAATATCTTTTCAGTCGTAAAGGACTCTAGAAAGAAAACTGTGCCTGTAGTCTTCACAGATCTACACGCCCCAGCAAACATAAGATCTTGAATCTGTGACAAACTGGCTGGACGTGAGGAAAGGTCACTATGATGCAGAACACAGAACAAATTTTAAAAAACCAAAAATATCTAAAGCAGCAAATATTGCAATTTTGTGGAAAGATACTTATACAAAGTAAACAACCCAAATAAATTTTTAAAAATCACAAAAATACAACAAAAATAAAATAACCATCAAGACCTTTAAGGTTTACTTTCTATACTGGCCTATATCTTATAATTTTTTCAAGTATTGCACTGTCCAAAGAAGTGCCTTGCAACCCTGGCTTGCTAAGCTATGGGGAAAAAGAAAGACTGTAGCCGTTGATCAGGTTTTTTATTAACATGAAACTTTATCATAATCACAGATGACTCATCAATTCTTAGAATTAGGCAGGGAGTACTTAAAAAATAAGCCCAGGTTTGCCCAACTCACTAGTCTGTCGTGTCCGATTTATATCCTCTGGCAACTGAAAGTTCTTCATTCGTCAAAGTAAGAATAAAAAGTAAATTAATATGATGCACCTACACAAATCAGCAACATATTACCCACTGTTGTCCCCTTGGATGAGTGGTTTTATGTAAGGAATGGGAATTTATCACTGCGTTTGAACATGCTGTTTCTATCAGCTGCCAAAACAGCAGCAGATTACGGCTCCTTCTTTTGCTTCTTTTGTGTCCTCTGGGAGACCAGCAGGGCTGCTGCACAAACACAGAGCCACCAGTAAAGTGGGGATAATCAAGCTCTGCATGTGAAACATGCATGAAATATTTGTAAAGATCTATGCTTGTCGTGTTGGCTGCATTTTTAAAGTAGCAAGCTGGTTGTAGCAGATATATGTAGATCAGTGCATTAGCTGATTTCTGGTAGCTGTTCAGGAGGGCGGCTTCTGTGATTCAGACAGAAGTGGCTGCTGCAGTCACTTTATTCTTTCTCCCCACATGGCTCTTACAAGACTAATTCCTCACCATCATGAGGATGCTGCTTGGATCTAGTACATTTCTCGGATTAACAGCATTGAAGCAGAAAGGACCATTTCATACCACAGAAAACCTGAGATGTAGCATTAAAATGAATTTTAGGATTTCAAATAACAGTTGTTAAAGCTGCAGCAATTTTGGAATGTATGACTGATGGTAACTACATCACTCGCAGTCATTGTGGTAATAAGTGATAGTTTCCTGCATTGTGAATATAAATTGCAGAAAATCATGTTATCATGTGAACCAACAAAATATGGCTCCCATAGCAGCTGCTGTTTACTGGGAAAAAATAGACTATGCCATTAATTTAATTATGCTTTGGTGGGAATCACAGCCATCTATATATTTTGCCAGCCAGAGGGCAGCAATTGCAGAGGGCCAGTACTCCCTTGAATGCATCTAGAATGAGTTTTAGAAATGATGAGTGGTACTATCTGCTGAAATCATAAAAGGAATTATTTCTAGAGTGCACAAAAATTTGAACTCATACCATGATTTTTTGAGGATTACAAATTAAATGTTTCGCAGGAGTACTCATTTTTAAGTTGTTGATGAATTCATAGAGCTGGTGACAGCAGCAGGGGCAGAGAGCTGTATCCCTGCCATGCACAGCCCCTGTTGCCCACCCAGCCTCTCCTCTCACCTCACCAGCTGGAATCCCATCCCCTCAGGAGCAAAGAAGCAGCCCTCCTGCTCCAGAGCAGGGGCTCCAGGCTCTGCACAGGCTGTTCCAGTGTCCTAGATGGTGGGACAGCTGCCAGCATCAGGCCAGTTCCCAGCGATGGCAGCTGGCCAGGAGCTGGCGTGGCATCTTGAGGGAGTGACCTTGGGTGGCTTCATTATGCACAGATTAATAAAAACTGCTGATTTTCCTGCTGCACTTGCCTGTGCCTGGTCCATCTCGGGAGAAGTTAGGTGCAGGCAAGGCATCAGATATTTGAAGCTTCATGACTGTGTGTTCGCTGTCCACCAACTACCATTTCACCCATGAGACCCTCTCTGGGAATAAACCACAAATTACAGAGTGCTTGTCTCCAATTTGGCTCCCTGAGCATCTGTACTAAACATTTTCACACTGGCGTTTTAGGAATCTCCTGGATTTGTTTGTACCAACTGAGTAGTTAACAACCATAAAGATGAATTTCCCCACAAGGACAAAGGTGGTTTATTCAGATGTGTCCCCTTGGTTCCTTAAAAAATAATTTGGTGTCATCCTGTCTGGATGGCCAATAACAAACTCCCACGATTGTCACAGACATCTTTTTGTGAAGATCCTTTTCTTAGGAATTTTTTTTCCTCCTGAGAAGCTGAGAGGCCTCAGGGACAAAATGTAAACAATGATTATCTGCTGCTGTGGAATGCATCAGGTGCATCTGTGATTGGTCTCACATGCTTGTTTGGAATTAGTGGCCAATCATGGCACAGCTGGCTCTCTCTCTGTCCAAGCCACAGACCTTTGTTATTCATTCTTTTCTATTCTTAGCCTAGCCTTCTGATGAGAGCTTTTTCTTCTATTCTTTTAGTATAGTTTTAATGTAATATATATCATAAAATAATAAATCAAGCCTTCTGAAACATGGCGTCAGATCCTCATCTCTTCCCTCGTCTGAAAACCCCTGTGAACACCATCCCACATGATGACACACACTTCATTTGTTTGTCCCTCTATCCTTGCCCAGATGCTCTCATCTCTGACATTACCAACTGCAGCTCTGGACATTCCAGACCTTCCATTACGCCCAACGCTCACGGCAGTTTCCTGCACACTCACACACTGCCCTGAAATCTCACACACCTTGACAGCAAACTGCACACTTGCAGCAGCACCTTTCACTGCCTCCCAGTGGGGCTCTGCATGCTCACAATGCAGCTCTGCAGCTCTGCAGCTCTGCAGCTCTGCTCACGGCACTGCAGTGCACACTCACACACTGCAATAAGACCGCGAATGTTCGCGTGCTCCCAGTTGTGCCCTGCTTGTACCCTACTGATCCATCCCTGACATTACTGAATTGCTCTGGTTTGCCTGGGTTTTGTTCACTTGTTTCTTTCCTCAGGGCTGGTTGGTTTGTTGATTTGGATGGTGGCTTTTCAGAGTTTTTTTTTTTTTTTGAGGGGTTGGACCTTAAGGATTTTTCAAATATTTTATGTCAGTGTTTTCCCTCTGGAAATTTTGATCTGTTGAAGACTCATGTCTCAAAAGTATTACCTCTCTCTGACATCTATTTTTCACTTTCTCAGCTGAATCTGGTCTACAGACTCTAGCAAATTATCAAAGTTTTCCTTTCCTCCCCTCCCCTTGCCTTGGAGAGCTTCAGAAAACCTGCTATGGAGAGTCTTTATAGAAAATAATTACCTACTGTCAGTCTAATCACACTGATCACAATAAATCATCATTTTCCACTACAGTTTCACATAACTCAGAACTGGGATGCAGTCCATGATTTCTGTACTTGTAAAGCAGAAGTATCTAATTAAAAACTGATAGAAGGTAGCTTTC